GCTTCATGATCCTCCTCCTTCCCGGGGGGCTGGCCCTGAGCCCCCGCGCCAGGGCAGCGCTGCCATGCAACCAGAGGCGAGGCCGGCGTAGGGTGGGGGAGGCTGAGGAGCGGGGAAGGGAGGTAATAAAAAATGAGATGGTACTAGTGGAAGAGGAATAATTCGGTTCTCAAATAATCGGAAAGAGTGCTCCTGGAGGGGTGGGAGCGAAGGAGGGCGGCTGCGGGGTCCTCGCCGCAGCTCTGGCCCCGCTACCCCCACCATCGCCACCGCCTCTGGCTGGCTGGGCTCGCTGTTGCTACCTCTCTCCGCAGATGCAACGAGGTAAGGCTGGTTTGCGGTGCCGGTTGAAGGTGGGGAGAGGGAATCGAAGCAGTGTGGCCCAGGTGGGATGTAGTCCGCACTTGGCCCCGGCTCGGTTCTCGCGACTCCCCAAAACCGTGTATAAATATATCTCCTCTAAAAGGGGAGAGGAAGCAAATCAGATCCCAGGCTGCTGCCAGGTGTTGTCTCGTCTTCCGCCGTTGCTCAGCACCCGCCGCCTCGACCGCTGCCCCCTTGGCTCAGGTCCCAAAGGGGTGGTGCTGGAGGAGAGGTGGCGTGGGCTGTGAGTTGACTGTCTGAGGACTGGAAACAGTGTTCTTGGAGCGAAGAAACCTCCCAGTTATCTCTGCCGCCGCCGTGGCCGCTGCTGCATTCAGCACCCGGGGCGAGTGGACAGCTCCCACCCAGACCCCGCGCGCCCTGCAGGTGGGGGCCTGGCGCAGACGCGGAGGGATGGAGGAGGGAAAGAGGAGGAGAGGGAAAAAGGCTTGAGAGAAAGGGAGCCAGAGAGGAGAACTGAGCGAGGGAAGGGGGTGGGGAGGGACCAAAGGAAAGGGAAGGAAGGAGGAGAGGGAGGGATTTAGAAAGGAAGGGAGGAGGGAGCAAAGTGGAGGCAGAGGGGGAAAGGCAAGTGGGCTGGAGGGGAGCAATTCGGGTATTAACATGTATTTTCCCCCAGCTGGAAAGTATCAGTGGAGAGTAGGGCAGTAGAATTTCTTCCCACTGTACACTATCACCGCCCCCACCCACCCCTCAACGCACATACACAGACTTCTACATCTGAACCGGAGTCCATTTCTCTGCTCATATAAACATTTTAAGCAGATAACAATCTTCAAGCTTTGGAAGAGATAAAGTTTTATGATTCTCGAGCCGATACTGGCACTTAATGGAGAACAAGCCGTCATGACTAGGAACTTATGAGAAGGAAATAGTTTAAACAAGAAGGGGAATGCTAGCACCATTTTGCCAGTTTCTTCTGGAATTTAAGCCCCAATGGCAGAGATTTATTAAGGGGAGTCCATTTCGATCCCAGGTGTCTAGGTCAGTGGTGGCATGTAGTAGGTGCTCAATACATATTTGTTGAATGGATTATGACCACCACCTCTATCACCAGAGTCATCATTAATTACTCCAAGCCATAGACCTCTTTCAATTGTGGAGCATACGAATCTAAAGTAATGTGACAGCTTCATCTTAACCAATATCTCCAGCCTTTCGCTGAGCCACTGACAAAAGGTAATTTGAAATGGATTTGAAATTTCTTTTCTTATTCTTTATCTGACTCATGTCACCCTACTCCATTTTCCTCAAAAAGTTCTTAGTGAGCAGAAAAGTAGAAAATTATTTCCCAAATGTGAAGAGCAAGAAAAAGAAAACTTAAAGTGGTCTATACAAATGCTCAATGTTTGCAGCATTGCTTTCTTGCCTCTCCTTATAGGTCTCTCTCTCTCTCTCTCTCTCTCTCTCTCTCTCCCACCCACCCACACACACACACAGCTCCAGGGCCATAGACTTGCACAAACTATCCCAATGAGTCATCCACACAGCTGTAGCAATGTCTTTAGAAATGGTGCAGCCATAGACAGAATAGCATTCAAAATCTCTGCACCAAAATATCATTGGCATGAAGTTCAGCCCTATGAATCAAGAGAAAATTACCCCCTTTGCTGCCATCTCCTTGAATGATTCATTCTTACAAGCTCTGAGGAGCAAGGATCTAAGTCTAGGTCTTGGTTAAGCCTGTGTGGCTGCTTGTTTGAATCATGCTTCAATACCCACCAAGGCAGTGGAGACCTGGCCCAGAGTGAGGGATTTGAAGATGATGCTGATGCTATTAATAAGTACAAAATAATGTGTATATTATTGATATCAGCACATGACCACTGTGCTGTAAAATGCATTTCTTTGTTTAAAAAAATCCGTCTGTTCTCAAAGCAAATTCTCTGGGCTCCACATCACCCTGTGCCTGCCTCTGTCATTGTGCAAATCACACTGTATAATAATGGTCTCATCATACATTCATCTCCCTTTACAAGAGTCAGAGCTCCTCAAAGGCAGGAACCAGTATTTGTATTTGTATCATCAGCACATCATATAGCACCTAGAGTCTGGTGGGTGACTAAGAAAATGAATACTGAATGAATGAATGAATGAATGGCCTTTTTGTTTAGTGAAGCTACCATATTTCTCCCCTTCAAGTTAGACACATACATGTGAGGGCTCTCATACATGATGGAATGTCTGTTTTACCTAAAATCAACTATCTGTTTTTGTGCTGGTAAATGCTAGCTCCAAATGTGGCATGCAAGTAAACTGGGACAGGAGATAGAAAAGCCATATGAAGTCTGTATTCAGAGTCATAGAAAGGGGCAATATCCACAAGAAGACTCTTTCCCGCCCCTCCCACTGAAATCAGGATTTCTAGAAACAGAAAGCTGCTAAGGATGGGAAGCAACCACAGGACTGTCTTCAGAAAGACTGAGAGGCTTGAGCAGTGGTTCTCAACCTTGGCTGCACATTAGAGTCACCTGGGAATCTTTTTAAAATCCTGATTTCTGGGCCTCATCCTCCGGAAATTCTTTTTCTTTGTTACTAATGTTGTGGCCCCACCCCATAACAAAGAAACAGAATTTCCAGAGGATGAGGCCCAGAAATCAGGATTTTCAAAAGATTCCCAGGTGATTCTAATGTGCAGCCAAGGTTGAGAACCACTGGGCTTGAGAGTTCTGTTTTAAATATAATGTAAATCCTGAAAAGCACTTCACTGAGTTAGAGCCTCCTTGTGCTGCTGATGAAATAGCGGTTGTGAGCCCCAAGAGTAAAAGCCACAATAAAGAAAATGTTAAATCAATGAGTCTCCATTTAAGCATTCAAAAAATATTTACTGAACACTAATCATAGGCAAGGCATTGTGTTGGGAGATGTGGGGGGACACAAAAATAAATTGGAATTGCATCCTCAAAGGTCTAGTACTATAAATGTTTACATAAGCATAATAGAAGGTATAAAATAATAAATGCTACAAAGATATTCAAAGTTGTGGGCATGTTAGAATAAGGTGGTAATTAATGCTTACAACTGGGCAGCAGTTAGGAGAGAAGGGGGAAAGTTAAGATGCCAGAGCTCTAGGAAAGCCCTTTTCTATAAGTAGCATCTGAACTGAGTTAAAATATGTAGAATTCAGAGGAGGGAAGCGTATTTGTGGGAGTGGGAATGCTGGATACATTAGCTCTTCCATTCAACTAGAGTGGAAGGTACTTGAAGGTAAGTAGCTGGAAGTGAAGTCAGAAAGTTAGGCTGGAGCCAGATCACAGAAGACCCCGAACACCACTCTGGGAGATTTATTCATTGACCAGGTACTTGTATTAATGGGTTTAAAGATTTGGAGCTGAAGGTGAAGGGCAGAAATAAACTTTATCTCTGAGCAGGTTAATTAACTGGATGGGATTTTACTGCTAACAGGTGAAAAGCAATCAATATTTTTCATTTCATGCCAGAAAGTTCTCAGCTCCTTAATAGATTTATTCTTTTAAATGAGGTTGTTTTCAGATATATTTCATTACATGCGGAGATGCTGGGGTCATGTGAATTAGAGCAGCAGAGGAATGAGAGCCACCAAGGAATAGTCTGCAGGAAGAAAAGAGACACAAAGTTTTGAAAAGAATTACTATGGAGGCCATTGCACTGGTTTCCCCAACCAGGGGAGCCCTAAAAGGATTCCATGCTAGCAGCTATTGCTTCTTCTTTACCAGACAGACAGTATTCAGGCTAACAGGCATTTTACAGGGGCTGGGGGAAAAAGTGAGCCAGAAAGATTAGGTAGTTCTGTACCTAAGGTCCTACAGCAAAGTAAGTGTCAGACAAAGGCTAGAACATCTTCTAGTCCTCAATACAGTTTGCTTTGCTCTCCATTCTATTGCAGTTGACTCTCTTCAAACATAAAGTTCTTTAAAAAATAATTACAGAGCCCTAGCCGGCTTGACTCAGTGGATGGAACATTGGCCTGCAGATTGAAGGGTCATGGGTTTGATTCCAGTCAAGAGCACATACCTTGGTTTCAGGCTCAATCCCTGGCCCAAGTCAGGGTAAGTGTTGGAGGCAACCAATGGATGTGTCTCTCTCACATTGATGTTTCTCTCTCTGTGTCTCTCCCCCTCCCTTCCACTCTCTCTAAAGATCAATGGAAAAATATCCTCAGGTGAGGATTAACAACAACAAAAGTAATAGATAATTGCAGAATTACTGTTCTCATGCAAATTATTAATAGCTACCATATACTGAGCCACACACCTTATTCATGTGTACTTAGAAACACTTGGGCACTTATTAAAACTAAAAATTCTTAAGGAGTCACCCCAAGTTTACTGGATAAGGCTTTCTTGGGGAGCAACCATGAAATCTGCATTTTTACATGTGCCTCAAGCAAGTGATTTTTCAGTCCTCAAAACTACTTAGGTGGTAGGTATTTTCCACATTATTTTTGGATAAAAATATAACAAGCT